TTTGCAAAAAATGACTTGTGAACATGTCTGTCAAACGGCGCCGTCGTCCAATCAGTGATGTCTCATGTTTCCCACTGGTACCTTTTCCGGTAGATTAATGTAATTGTGTTTTCCTTAATGTAGTTGCGCTTTGCTTTATGTAGTTTTGTTTTTCTTAATGTAGTTGCGATTTTAGATTTCTAGTTGCAGTTTGCACTTCAGGGCCACCGTATGAAACCCTAAAAATCAAGCTTAATGTTTAATGATAACCATCTAAAGCAATGACAGGATTCAAAAAGCTGCAGATCAGAAGCATTTTAGCTGCTTATGAACATTAAAGTACAAACAAATAAGCAGGGAAGCAACATTAGAGCTAGGAGGACATTTTTAGACAATTTACACACCAGAAGGATCATAACAGACCAATATAAGTCAGTCTCTGAGAGTAAAGGGCACAGGATGGAAATTAGCCTCTCCCTCTGGAGTCCATAATTACATCCCAGCTATCGCCAAATTGTTCTCCATTGTTTGCTAAACGGGAGGTGAGAACCTTCCAGGTGACCAAGCGGGTCGACATGTTGGTAGAAATGTGGCAACCTGTCAAACGTGTCCGTTTTGGTAACCTTGATCGGGGGATTTTCATACAACGAGGAAATAATTTAAATCTCCTTACTTCTCTAAAAACACCTTTAAGCAATTTTTACAGTCTTTTCATTTCCTCGTCTCTGCAGCTCTAAAAAGCTCGAGGTGATGAAGGATCCTCCGGACGTTCCGGCTTTGTTTTCTTCCACACCACAGAAAGTTGTAAATGAACCACAACATCTCACTAACACCCACACCCAGACAGAACACACCCAACAGGGCAACTTGCAGAGAATACCTGAAGCTTCCATTTGCTTTGCATAAAGGTTCAGGCTCACAGCTTCCTTGTTGCTTTTTATACCATGAAACAGAAACCGGTTGGTGTAGTTTGACATTCAAATGATCCGCCTGTCTTCAGGGCTTCTCCTGTCTGTTGGACGGCCTTATTTCAGCTCCTCAGTCATCAGGACACTTTTTTTTTAAGACATCTACATAATTAAACACGACGCATCCAAATAAAACGTTTCCTTCCTTCAACCTCTGCTTTGCAGTTAATTTAAACAAAAGAAATCCACTAAGAAGATAAAAAAACATGTAAAAGATGTAGTGTGGTCTTCATATAAGCACCAATAAATAGGCTGTGATGCCGTCGCTGCTGGTACAACAGGCGTGCAAACCCTGCTGCAGCGAATGCTTCCTATTTCTTTAATTGTGATAAATTCCAGATCTGGGTTCAGCTGTAAAATAAAATAAACCGCTTACTGGGAGCTCTGGTAGACATCCACTGAGCTGTTGAGTCCTTCCAGTTGGCCCATCAGTAGCTGCAGGTTGGAGTTAACGTAGCTCAGCTCCAGAAGAACCATCTCCTTAACCTTGTTGTTGTTTGTAGCCCTGCAGAGAGAAATAAAGGTAGAAACGGACAAAAGGATTTAATGCAGGCAGAAAAAAATCTCTTTAAAATAGGTTTGGTGTAAAAAGGAAATTTGTCTTTGTCTCCCTCTACTATCCACTTAGTGGGGCAGAATGTTTCTGCAGCTGAATGTTGAATCAAATGTCTCTCTTCCAGTAATCTGGACCACAGACCGGAGTCACTGTGGTTCTGCTGCGCTCCACCAACCCACACACTTTTGAATGAAGATGGAGGATTAAACTATTCATCAACCGCAGCAGTAAAAATACAGGTTTCCCTCAATCTACGAAGGTTAAATAAAGTAGAAAGGTGAGTAATAACACAGATCAGACTCTGCTGTTAAATCCAGGATTCAATGGTTGGTATATTTTCCATCCTAACCAAGTTTAAGAGGTGACCTCTGACCTGACCTGAGAACAGGCTGGGATCAGATCATAAAACAGGCCCGGGCAGGACGGCCCTGCGGAGGGGGACCTGAGAAACTCTCTGGAGCCAAAACGCTTTCTCCAGAATCTAACATTACCTGGAGATCGAGTAAAAAAATCACACACAAATCCATCTGATACGGCTTCAATTTTTTACTAAAACAGGTTGCCCAATCAAGCTGCAGCGTTATGGTTTAAGGCGGGACATAAAGGTGAGACGAAGCAGTCAGCTACGTACGCACAGCTGCTGAGGTCGGATCTGTTTGTCAGAATTCATGATTTTATTTTTTTTAATTATTTTTAAAAAGTACATAAAAAAAAGAATCCATGATTTTATTTTTTTTTTATTATTTTTAAAAAGTTAATTTAAAAAAAGAATCCATGATTTTATTTTTTTTAATCATTTTTAAAAAGTAAAAAAAATCAAAAACATAAGAATCCATGATTTTATTTTATTATTATTATTTTTAAAAGGTAAATAAAAACAAAAAAAGGGATCCATGATTTTTTTTTATTATTTTTAAAAAGTAAAAAAAAAAAAGAATCCATGATTTTATTTTTTTTATTATTAAAAAAAAAAAGAAAAGAATCCATGATTTTTTATTATTATTTTTAAAAAGTAAAAAAAAAAAGAATCCATGATTTTATTTTTTTTTATTATTTTTAAAAAGTAAATAAAAAAAAGAATCCATGATTTTATTTTTCTTTATTTTTAAAAAAGTAAATAAAAACAAAAAAAGAATCCATGATTTTATTTTTCTTTATTATTTTTAAAAAGTAAATAAAAACAAAAAAAGAATCCATGATTTTATTTTTTATTATTATTTTTAAAAGGTAAATAAAAACAAAAAAGAAAGCATCCAAGGTTTTTTATTTAATTATTTTTAAAAAGTAAAAAAAAAAAAAGAATCCATGATTTTATTTTTTTTATTATTATTTTTAAAAAGTAAATAAAAAAATAAAAAAAGAATCCATGATTTTATTTTTTTTTAAATTAATTTTAAAAAGAAAAAAAAAAAAAAATAAAGAATCCATGATTTTATTTTGGGAAAAGAGGAAGGGCTGCTTAAAACTCATTCATTTCTTACAGTGATTGGTTAACACCAATGAGGACTCTCAGGACCCTCTGCCTGAAACGATACCAGAACATTAGAACTTGACCCAACACTGCTGCAGAGCTTTATGGCTAAAGTTACTAAAACTATTAACCGATGTTTAATTTGCACTTTCTAATATTCTTATGGTGACCCGGGTATTAGCACCGCTGCCTTTGTAAGGTCAGCTGGCCCGTTCATGTTGCCGTTGGGTCAGAGCGTCTGCACGCCGTTTGTCTCCGTTTCCTCGTGATGAAGCAGGTGCCTCTCACCCATTGACCACAGGAGAAAAGGACAAGCTTCCCTACAACCTCCCAAAGGATCAGGGACGGAAAATTAATCAAAGTCTCAAATTTAGTGCTCGTGTTAAGTTGTGCGTCTTTGTGAACGTGCAGAGGGTCCCTGCATGGCAGAGATAAGGTCAACCTAACTGCTTACTGCTGTCTTTTTATTCTCCACACTCAACCAGCATGCGTCTCTATCCTCGGTCATAAAGAATGTGTGTTACACTGACAGTCTGTACAAACAAAACCAGTGTCTGTGGCAAACACGATAACAGAAACATCCCATCCATCCCTATCGTATCTATGACCGCAACAAAGAGCCTGTTTAAGATCACACCTAAGAACACGCCTTAACACACCCGTCCGCAGCCAGCCGCCTGATCTGTAATCACAGCGCGTTCTTTTCAGCACAAAAGGTGACGAGTGATTACGTGGTAATGGAGAACTTTAACGGAAATTAAAACCCATCAACTTTTGCTCTAACACCTGAAAAAATACAACAGATGCTGAACTATAATGAGCTACTAAGCCTTCAGAGTGGATTCTGTTAATGAGAGAAAAAGACAGAATTATTATTAAAAATAATGAGAGATTTAACCCTTTAAAGCCCGAT